GGGGGGGGGGGGGGGGGGGGGGGGGGGGGGGGGGGGGGGGGGGGGGGGGGGGGGGAGGTTCCCCCTCAAGCCCTTCCCCTGCCACGGGCAAGAGCCCAAGCCCAAGCCCAAGGCCGGTACATGCCTCGCCTGCGGGAGAGATGCTGCTCTCACCTCAGGTGGCGGCTGGAGAGCAGAGGAACGAGCCAGTGCTTGCCTCGATCGCAGCACTGCACAAAGGAGCCTTCCCCCTCCGGCCTCCGGCAGTGGCTTGCAGCCCTGCCGGGCAGGCAGCTCACAGGAAAGGTTTAAGCTAAGGAGAAAGTGAAACTCATGGCTGGAGCTGCCTCCTCTGGATCCCAGCTAGCCCTGACAGCAACACCAGCAGCCCCTCAGCAGCGGTAGGTTGGCAGAAGCATCTCAGGCACCCACCACCACCACCTCAACGCAAGAGCAACACTTGCTCAGCTGGACGCAGCCAGAGGCTCCTGAGCAGACACGGGGCTCTCCCACTCTGGCCTTCGCAGCTCAGATGTGTGGCTTCAGCGAGCCCAGCTCCATGCTTGAGCTGTCGAGTGTCCCTCTTCCTGAGACCAGGGGCAGGACCTGGAACGTGATAAGAACCAACAGGGGTCACAGAGGAGTAGGCACACCAGCGGTGCCGATGCAGTCGTGTACGTGCAGAGGTTGGAGCATCACCAGCATCCGCAGCTCTCGGGGACGATGGCACCTGCGCTGCCCACTCCTGGCAGCCACCGCTCCCATGGCAAGCGGGAGTCCCCCCAACTCAGCCTCCGCAGGGCACGCCTGCATGAATAACTGGCTAGATGTCGTGCCTCGGGCAGCGGGGACTGCCCACCGACTGTCGTCGCCAACGTACAGTTTGGAATTGCCTCTCCCCTCCTCCGGCTGAGGGCTGCCAGGCACCTGGAGGCCACCGATGTCACTTCAGGCATGCGCTGCCACCGTTCCACCAGCCTTCAACTCTGCACCGTCCCGGCAAGCCTCGGGTGGAAGGAGCGCATCCACTCACAAGGCAGGGGAGCAGGAGCCCACGCGCCGCAGCCGTGCCCTGCAGCCCCCTCGGACCGGTTGGCGCAGTGGAAGCTGGAATAAAATTCTCCAAGGAGAGCAGGAGTGCCTGCCTGGAAGCCGGCCAGCCTAACCGGGGTGCTTGCAATCTTACACGCTCACTGAGAGTCAGGGTTGGTGTCCGGGCACGAAGCCTTGGGACAAGGCAAGGAAGCAAAGCTCTGAGAGCGGGCACTGCGGTGCTGGGGAGCCATAGAAATGGTTCTCCAAAGGAGGTGTGTGTGAAGGATGAGCGTCCTACGGTTTGGCACCGTTACAAAACAAAATTAATTTGTGGGCAAAGGGAAATAAGCTGAAAACAGTCCCCTCGCAAGAAAGATTTGTAGTATTGAAGGGCAATAGCTGCTGCCCACCAGGATTTCGGATGCCTTGGTCTAAAAAAAAAAAACCTACACCCAATGAGCAGCATGGTGCTCCAGGTCTCTGCAGAGCACAGAAGCAAACCAACCACCACCGAGGTTTCTCAGGCTGGGGTGGTTTTGTGGTTTGGTTTCTTTTTTTTTTTCCCTCCCCATTCAGGAACTTGAGCCAGAGCCTACGTTGGCTGCAGCTGGAAAACAGCCTGTCCTGGGGATATCTGGCAAAGCATCAAGCACGCCAGTTCCCTAGCTACGCGGTTGTCACAACTTTGGCAGCACACTTTAACCTTTATGCTTTTCACGGGTAAAGGGAGGCTCTCTGCACAGCCAAGCCCTGCCCGTTCTCCAGGAAACCCTACACCCCGTCTAAATCGAGCGGCAGGGCAGGCGAGAACAACATCCCCGACCTGAATCCCAGCCGTGCCACTGTAACACAAGCCAGCCAGCCCGCCCCGGTGGGGACCAACCCGGGCACGCGGTCGAGCAGCTTAACTGCTT